ATGTTTGAAGGAACATTAAATATTACTGTCAGATTTTTACCAAGTTGTACAAAACAAAAGTATTGAATTACAAATTAAAATGAGAAGTAGATTTTTAAAAATATTTAATTGTTATTAATAATATTTTTAAAAATATTAAATAAATAATAAAAATTCCGCCTACAGTAACTTCAATGTGCGTCTATGTATTAAACAATTAATGTGCAACAGATATCTAATTGTTAAGATATAAAACTTTTAAAAAGTACTAAAACTTACATGGTAGCACACATTATATTTAATGAGAAAATCAAGGTTTGTCTGCTGCAACCACCAGAGAATAGATATTTACACTTAAAATTTACAAATGTGTATGTAAATATTTTCACCCAAAATGAGTGGATTCAATTAGTTAAATCGGAGAATTTCTTCGAGAAAATTTCTGATACGCATATACTAAATTATATTCACAAAATACAAAAAAAAATGAAATATAAAAGAGCAACATATACTAATTTTTTTTTTTTCTTTTGTATTTGAATAAATATTTTTTGGATGCAAAACTAGGGAAATAAATTTTTTTGCATCGTTGGTATGTTAAATTTCACAGAAACGAAGAAATTAGGCTTTTATTAACGAAAAAATATTTTAAATATAGTTTTCTTGCGAAAACTAACCGCAAAAAAATGACAACTAATATATTTTAGTTCGCAGGCCGCAAAAAAGGCTTCGCGGGCCGGATGCGGCCCCCGGGCCGCCAGTTGGAAACCCCTGCTCTAGATACGAGACTTCCAATGATTTCGTTTAGTTATATGCGTGCACCGATTGTTTAAATGGAGATATTTTAAAATTTATAATCTAAGAGATTTAAGCATCGAATATATTTTGACTTAGAAATACCTTAAAAGAAATTAATTTTCAGTTCCTAAATATGTGTCTCCTCGCATTTACGTAATAAGATTACATGCGTAACGTAAATAACAATATTGGTTTCAAACAAAAAGAAAAAAAACACTGATGTTATGCATTCACTTTTTCATCGCAGTAATGATAATACTCAATTGGTAGGAATATTATTCAACAAGTCACATGCATATCATGAAGGCTATGAAGTAGAAATCTCTTGCTTCGTTCTTTTTTACCCCTTTATCGGCAAAGTATTCTTTCCTATTATGAGTTAGTAGGCGTATGATTACAACCCAAAAAATATTTCAAAATTTAGAAAAAAAAATTTTTTTTTTTTGGGGGGGGGGAGACTCATGAGTTTTTACTTTTTAATCTTTCGATTCAACTTTATTAGTTACTGTACGTAATAATATTTTTCCGAATAATAAAAAAAATACAGATACTACTATACAAACATTTAACATTAAGGTTTAACTCTACTTAACTTTACGAAGGATAATTTCGTATCTGTTCTCATAATATCGATAATATAAATTTATATTTACTTTAATTGAATTATGTCTCAATTAACTTGTTTTGGATCAAGTATTAATTTATTTCAGCAATTTTAATCATCATATAGTTAAAAAAATAATAATCAATGTATAGAATATTTTAATTAAAATAAAAACTATTATGATTCCCACTTCACTATTCGTGTGAACAGAATAACTTGATAAGTCAAGGGTTGGTGTTTTTTATTTTTATTTTATAACCGTCGTTGAAAAGCCGACCCAATTTCATGGGTTTACGACTACTTACGTTCAACTCCGTAGCCTTGTAATTTTGAACCAATCCAGAAGACAAGGAAACTCCTGGATCAGTACCCCCAGAGGTATTGATTTGTTGTGGGAACATGGAGGACTTTGAGACTCGACAGATTTAACGTGCATCAGTCACCATTTACTACACAGGGAAAGGTTCAATTTAACTTGCATAGCAACTTTAAAAGTTTGTATTCGATTTATGAGAATGTCATATTATGGAATAAATATGTAATATTCGCTCAATATGATTTTTTTTTAGATGTTCTGGTTCTTACCAACATCTGTTTTCGGATGCTTTCACTTTGAAGTTTTTGTTGCTTTTTACATTTGGTCTCGGAAGCAATTTCTAAGTATTTTTGGTGCTCTTGAAAAGCTTCGTCTCTTTTTAATTTTCGATATTCTTCATTTCCTGAAATTTTTTTAAAATTTTTGTATCAAAATGTTAAAAAAATCATCTTTATGATTTGTAAAACAAATAGAAAACAATATAGTATATTAAAACAAAAGGAAAATAATACTTTTCGGTGAAATTATCAGATTCGCATTCAGTCAAAGGAGAAATCACCATTTCAGATTATTTTCAGTCATTTTGAAATTGTAGTCGTTCAGAAACACTTTCTTTCTATTGATTCAATTTTTAAGAAGATAAAAAATAAAAGATGAATACTCTAAATTAGATCTATTTTAATTTATGCCCGTAAAAACTTGCTCCGTGTCTCAATCTAGGGGGAATATGATTGGCATCTTCGAAAGAAAGATTTTAAGAGCTATTTTTTTGTTGCATTAAAAAAAATTTTCACGTGACTAAGAAGATTAAATTTGGATCTCTATCACTCATATATTGAATCTGACTTCGTTAATCTCATCAAATGACAATGAATAAAATGGACAGATCTCGTTGGTAGAATGGACGAAGACCGCTCCACAAAAAAAGCCTTCACTGCCCGACAAGTTGGCACACCGAGAAAAGGCAGACCAAATCTAAGATGAATTGACGGCTTTGAAAAAAACCTTTCAGTCTTTAGAGATCATGAACTGGAAAATACTATCTGGAAGAAGGCTGGTCTAGAAAAGGCTCACTGAGAAGGCCAAGGCTCACCCTGGGCTGTTGAGCCATTCAGGTAGGAGGAAATACTCTTAACCATAAATGTTGTCAGCATAAAAAGCTGGTAAAGATTAAAAAGAACTAAAGTAAAATTAATTTATTTAAATACACCTTGTTTAGTTGACATAAGAAACACTTTTCTCTCTGTTGCAGTGAAAAAAGCGACAACAATAAGTTATCCCCATTGGGAATAGGTATATAAGTATTGTGGAAGATGCATATAAGTGTCGCAGTATAGGTCTTTTTGTTCTAGAGTGGAAAATGTAAAAACTGTATCTATCCCGAATCCCCCTTTAAAAATACTGCATGTAATAAAGTTCCGCTGAAGCCTCAGATATTGCCATGTGATAACAATGAAAACTTACTATCAACAATATTACAACGATTAATAATTATTAAAATGAAATGAATCCAAACACAAAAAATTTCTTCAGTTTCTAAGTTAATTTAAATTAATTGAATTTAAAAAAAAAACGTAAAACGCTATTGAATTTTTTTTTTTTTTGAACGGAAATAATATGTTCAGTATAAACGAATTCACTCGGAATTATGCCTTGCATGTATCGAGGGTATTCAGTTCTCTTCCCCCCTCCCTTGAAAAAGGCGTACTGCGGAAAGTTGGAAAGTTTTTAGACTTAATTGATAACAACATCAAGCTTTCACAAGAAAAAAAAATAAATAAATAAAAATAAAAAAAT